TAAATTTTTGTTTTCAATAAAATGGAAACACTGAAAAAGTGGATACACCAACTATTTTTTTGAGGTCGGTGCCAGATATATTACAAGAAAAATATCACGCATGGTAAGAGAATAATAGATTTTCTGATAGTGCTGTTTTACTTCTTGCCAATGTCACAGCTGGCAGAATTTTTGAGATTTGAAGGTTAACCTGTCAGTGGTTCATTGACATAAGTCACTTAACAAGTTCTTTTCTATGGACAGGTCAACAGGGATGCTAGCGTAGTGGAGCCGCTAGCGTCGACATCGGCCCAGCCCACGTCATCAGCTGAGGAGCAAACAGCTTCGTCGTCGGCGGAGCCCACAACATCGACGTCGACGGAGCCCACAACGTCGACGTCGACGGAGCCCACAACGTCGACGTCGACGGAGCCCACAACATCGACGTCGACGGAGCCCACAGCGACAACGTCAGCCGACACCGCAAACGGTAATACAATCTATTCCTATTTTCTTCCTTAAGATTCATTTTCATCGATGTCAATTATGTGATAAATTACAAATATTCGAATTCTTATTTTCTAGATACCGATGATCTGCAAATCCTCACCCCAGAGGAGATGAAACACCTCGAAGAGTTTTTAGACGCAGACATTGGTGATGCGGTAAGATATAAATGCCTCATATCAGTAAAATCAATTCTGTATATAATAACACACAAACGTGTAATACGTTTTTATATTAACCCAGAAGGACCCTATTCACTTAGGAATAGTCTCCCTGTCCACTTCTAGACAGTGCGCAAGTAAACAACAACTGTATGTATGAACAGTTTTTCACCAGCGGCTACGCTCGCGTAGTCCTGTTTTATACATTTAAAATTTGCTCTTGAATCACTCTGTAATTTATGAAAACTGCATTAAAATTCGCTGTGTCGTTAAAGATTTCTAGATACCGTAAATAAGCGAACCGATGATTTAATTGTAACATTTTTATTTGATGCAGAAATGGACGTCATTTCTAGACTCGGCACTTTCACCGTAGAAGGTGGAAGGAGTCGAGTCTGGGGTTTGCCGTGGTGGCTCCACAGGTGCGATCCAGATGTAGTGGGCGTGAGGGTAAGTGTCGTAAAAGTACTCAGATTTTTGCCTAATTTTTTTGCACATTGAATTTAGTTCCTCGGTTCTGTTGTTAAAATTTTATGTTATAAATTATTGGAAGAAATTTTCTACATTTTTGTTAATAATCCTTCAAGTATTTTTAATAGATCATGAATTGTACGGCGATAAGAGATACGCTGGATAAAGATTTAATGTTTCAATAAAGTATATTCATACTGCTAAATTTATTGAAATGAAAAAATCAAATATTTGTATCAGGAGGAGCGTCTTGCAACGTTCAATACGAGACGGGGTGTCAATCAGTGTGAGCAGGCCGAAGGCACCGCGAGGCTGAGGTGTAGTATATACTCACACTTGGAAGTTATTAATCAATGGGTCTAATTTTTGTCTCTTTTAAAAAAATATGTTTTTTATTTCCAGGTGAAGCTAAAGATTGAGAATGTGAATGTCAGCTTAAGAAGGCGCAACGCCAGGAAGCTGTACAAAACCTGGCTGGAATAAAGTTTTACATGTTGCCAGTAAGTTTAATAAATTGTTCAGTTAATTTTCTTTGTTTAGCAATTGAATAAAGATAAATATGTTTTATAATAGTACATTTACAGTTAATAAATTAAATAAACAATTTCAAACATCATCGTATTAATAGAAAGTATTTAAAATTTATATATTTTAAATGTAGTAAATAGATTGTAGGTATGTCGATAAAAACCGCTCGTTGACCTCCGGGTACAGCAGGGCAAAGATAATAGCTACCCTTAAAAAGTAAAAAAAAATAGTTTTTGTGACTCACAATAACAAAAACATTGTTTTTATTCTGTTTATTATGTTTGGCCATTAAAAAAAATAAAATAAAATTTGTTTGCTGTCAGCGCCTGTAAGACAGGGTAAACGACAGTATATTTTCCGTCATTTAAAGGCACCTTGCAGAGAGAATGATATTATTATGTTATCTAATAATTTATCAAATTAAATGCTCTTTTCTAATTACAGAAAACCCTTACTTATGTTCCCTCTGCCGACGATGCATGTGGACGCAGGTGGCAAATCAATCAAAGGAAATAAGGAAGTATTACCAAATAATCAAGGAAGTTTTGATGGTATCAACTTATTGGTTGGAATTTATCAGTTGCCAACATTCAGGCTATTAGTTCTTAGTTCTTGTGTTCATGTCCATATTAGTTGTTTTTTTCCTCGATAAGCGCCCTCTATGCGCTTTTTCATTCCGCCCATCTTTTTGTTGTAGATATTTAGGAATTTTGAATTTTTAAGACGTCGCGTTTAGTGAGACAAGGTTTTGTTTACATCTGTACATGTATTTTAGTTTTAATTTAAGTGTTAATTGTTATTTTATGAATTTTGTGAATATTATAGTATATTTTAAATTTAGAATTCAAGAAATAAAGCTTGTCTTTTGGTTAATAGATATATTTGTTTTACTAAAAAACGAATGACTTATCTGTAGGTATATGTTAAATATTGTGATGGAAAGTGACTTCATGTTCTAATGAAGTCATTTTTCAATGAGACTTCTCTGTATGAAAAACAGGGAGAAAAAAGCAGCCCTTGCTGAGTTTCTTGCCGGTTCTTCTCAGTACAAGGTCTCCCGACGTAGATTTGCGAACCGATGGCATAAAGGGTTGACTGTCTTAATTGCTTGTAATACTTTTGAATGAATAAATGAATTGGTAATTGCAAATCATTTAATTATTTTATTACACGTGAAAATTTCCATTATTTGAGTTTGAACAATAAATACTTGTTGTTTTAATGCGATGAAAAGTCACGCATAAGCACGTTCTTTTAGTTTGTTGTTGTAGTTGAAGACGCGTCATATGTTGGGCGCCATTTTGTTTTGGGGCGGGGCTTTTGACGTTGTGCTAACGGACGCGTGCCTTAGACTACCAATGAGAAGAGCGGGAAAATTGTTACATTGCAATTGTATTTCAGCAGTTGACTTTGAAACGAGTTCATAAACTAGATGATATTTATTGAATGCAAAACTTGAAACTTTTATTAAGAATTTCCAATTACCCTTTAACCTTTCTATTTTGCCTTTTAGTTGAAGGCGAAATGTAATTTCGAAATTTGAAAACTACCTTATGAGTAAGTTTTTTTCTCACAATTTATTAATATTTTATTGTAAGTTTCTAGCTTTGTTTATATCAGTAAATAAGCATTTTCATTCTTCAACCTATTCTCGCTCAGCTCCTCGCAAAAGATAGAAGAAAAGAAATTACAAATATGGAAATCCAAAAAAGCTTGAGAAACTATTTATAGATCATCATAGCTTCAAGTTTAATTTTCGTCATAGCGGCTTTAGAAAAATAAACATACTTGTTAATATGACTACTCTCAGATTCAATTTCACCTAAACACATAAGAGAACACGAGCACAGCAGCAATAACGCAGCTATATGATAAAATACAGAAGAGGCTGGAAAAATAAAAATCACAAAATTGAGATCTCTAAAAATTGAGACCTCGTTGATGCAACAAGTCGTGACGAAACATCGGTTCTTTCGTTTTGATGCGAGCATCTTTGGACCACAAGGCCCCAAAGATTATCTTAATCGTCAATAGAGTTTTAATTGAAAATAACAAAATTAAAATAACAATGTTGATATCAATTGTGAAAACAAACTTTTACATGAAGCAGTGCATACAGCAGTGGAGTGCTTCGTTAATTCATTAATTATACAACCAAAGAAATTAAACAACCTACAAACCTGCGTGCGGATCTTGCATTGATTCTAAATTATTATTCAGCTGTTGCATACAAATATGTAAGAAAAGTCTATAGTAATTTTTGGCTCGTTAATAATGTCTTTACTACGTAACATATTTGTTATTTTTATGTTCGCCTATTTATCACTAGCTGACCCGGTGAACTTCGTACCGCCTTATATCCGTTTAAAAAAAAAATAATAATAATTTTTTTATAATTTTTTTTTAGCTTAACTTTTTTTTTAGTTTAAACCCATAAAGCTAAGGCTAACGAAAAATCTCACTCATCTCATTAAGCGATCGTCTGTCTCGTTTACGCACGTTACATTTTTGGTATCTGTCGCATATTGTTGCGACGTTCTAGCCAGCGCGGGGTCTAGCTCGGCCGCTGCTAAATTACGAACTGTTGTGTATTGAGATTTATTTGTTGCATACGCTGCTTTGATAGCCAACTTAATTACTTTCAGAGGTATAATTATTGAGTAAATGGTCAGTTTTATTAGAAAAAGAATCAATGGTGTTAAAAATAAAGTGTGTATTTTAAATAATACGAAATTGTTTTGACAAACCCATTAATCCCATTTCAAAATACTTTTAGAATGGATTTTTTAATAATTGTCGCAGAACGACAGAGAACTAAAATTAAATGAATTAAATTATTAAATTAGCGTCTATATTCCCAAGTACATATAACCCAGACTTACTTAGGCAATAATGAATAGATTTCTTTTGGGAACATATAAAAACGTATTACACGTTTGGTTGTAATTATCTACAGAATTGTTTTTACTAGTATGAGGCATTTATATCTTACCCCATCATCAATGTCTGCGTCTAGGAACTCTTTTACATGTTGCATCTATTCTAGAGACAGAATTTACAGATCATCGGAATCTAGAAAATGAGTATTCGGATAGACATCAATGCAAATGAAGGAAGAAAAAAGGAACACTACTTATATCAATCTTATACACGCCAAGTGTTTGTAAAGGTTAAAAATCCTTCGGCGTTCCCACGATGTTATTTACCTTTAAGACAGGAGCATATACTGTCGGCACAGAGTAATCACGTTGTACGTGGCCAATCTTGTCGGTCACTTCTTTGACATAAGGCATAATTATAGGCTGGTTTTCTTTTAGCCTCAAGATGTGTACTCTTAAGTCTCGGCTGCTTATGTCATCCGTGCACTTGATATCCATTTTTCTTCAGTACTTCCTGGACATTGGCCAACTATTTATAATACCAATGGTGTAATGTTAAAACGTTAACTTTTACAGTTAACCCAGTCTTTTAAAGGACGTTCGTGACATCAAACATCACGGGAGTAAAGAAACAAACCGCTTATATATGATGATATACAGGTTCGAGGAAATATATTGAAACAGCAAAATAAATTCTGAACGTGCCGAAGCACTCTTCGAGTTATCTGTAATATATGGGGTCCAAGTCGAGTCACTGTAATTTAGTCTAGATTAAACTATATTTTGCCTCCCACCACACACAATATATAGTTTTTTACCATAGTAGTGCTCTAGATTTCCATTTTATTCCGAACAGTTTTAACTTTAACGAACTTTAACTTTTGTCATATTTTACAATCTATAAAATCGATCCGATCTATAAAATAATTTAGAGCAAAGGGCCAAATATAGATAGATGCCTAAGATCAAATTTATTAGGATGGATGCTATATGCCATTTCCAAGGACACGAAAACAAATAGTCGTGGCGAAAACATAAAAACGGATGTGATATGCCTAGGAAGGAAGTTTTTACTTATTAGCATATCAAAAGATTCCATAGAACAAAGTACCTATAAGCACAAATTGCTAAATCATTGTGGGTGGCTCGTTAATAATGTCTTTACAACATAACATATTTGTTATTTTTATGTTCGCTTATTTATCATTAACTAACTTGATTATTCATTAAATTCTTTACAGAGTCTGTAACATATTCTTATTTAGTTTACAATTTATAAAATTTCACCAAAATGTCTGATTAGATCGCTTATGTGTTGTTCTATCTAATACACCTCCGGATAGTAGAATCGATACTTAGTTATTTTTGGTTTAAAAGTCTAATATATATAAAAAAAAGTTTATTTCACAGTTTCTCGCTGACGTATCTAATAAATAATAATTCTTGAGCATGTTAAAAAGACGTATAAGAGCTCACCGCATTCATCGCAAAATTTGCATGCGTTGAGAACAGTAATTTTGGAAGAGTGAGACAACATGTTTACCAAGTTGTGAGAATAATTCTATGCCCAATCTAATGCCATTAATTAGTCTTAAATGCTCGTGGAGGCAATAGTGACTGCTATATGAAATACGTTTTATTAAATATCATATTTAGGATAACGTACTTTAAAAGTAAAGATTAAATACTAGCTTCAATACTGCATCAAGAAATTTTCTCCTTACTTACATCTTCTAAGCAATAGTGCTTCAGATATGAAATAGTAAGATGGCCTAATTCTAGAGTGTGGAAATAAAACGGTTTCCGCCGACAACTGCAATGAGATTATTACAGTGTGAAAAAATACCATAAATAAATTACAATGCTTAACTGTATATAAAAAATATAGATTAGGCTGTAAGCATACGATTTAAAAGCTCACTATGAATCATTTATGCTATAAACAATACACGTATTGTACCTACTGTTTTTGTTAAAACCCAAGTTGTGAAGCATCTTTTTGTTTTCATTCTTTACAAGTAATATTTTTATGTTGCGAGATGCGGGTAACCCTAAGTCCACTTTTCTATAGAATTCCTTTATTTAGAAATTTTGGCTTTGTTCTAACATAAGGTCAGGTAAGGTTAATAATCCTTTTGGTGTGTAAAAAATTAAGCAGGTACTTCATTTTTGTTTAATGTTACAATACACTTTGGAATGGCCGAATGCCATAAATGTTATTGGCTATTGTTTTTGTTGTTATCTTTGAGACATTTTTTTTGCATAATTTGATTCGTATAATGTTGATAGATACGAAAAGACAGGAAAGAACCGATCAATGTATTAGGTAGGGATCGATTTCAACACATAAAGCGAGCGTACCGCAATGGAAGTAAATGAAACAGATGCGCGAAGGGCGGCCTTCTACGATTGAAGACAACTAAAGAAAACATCAATGTTGTGCGATGCATAATAGAGTCAAACAAATGAGAATATTGGTCAAGTTCATAAAATCCTTCACGAGTATTTTCCCGTCACGAAGCTTTGTATTGGTTACCTCATTATTTGACCACGGCCCAAAAACTCCGTTACTGTGTAGAATATGTTAAACTAAATTAGAAAAGAAAGGTACACGAACAGTTGATTGGCATTTGTTTTGGAAAATTTTGCAAGGATGCAGTCTTGTATTGATGTAAATAGACATTATTTTGAAAAGCTATAATAAAATGAATAACTCGATATTTTGGTCTGATTTTAATTTTCTAAGAACTTTAGATTCACCCTCGTAAGATAAATTATACTTAAAAATTAATGCGTAAGCTGTTATGCGTAAATAAAGAGAGGTATGCCATGTTATAATGTCTTTAAATTTTATTCAAATGGTCACTGGCAGAGAAGTCCAATTAGTTTCGTGATGATACTTAGGCTTGAGATCACTTCTTACATTCTTAGGTTAAAGCTACACGAGCTCTTTTAATCTATACATATGCGCTAGATTAGATTTAAATTTACGCTAATTAAGCTTATAGGCTATTTAGAGGTATACAAACAAATAACCCTATCTGCAAGATACCTTTAATATTAAAATATACCTATGTAGTCGCTTACCTTATTATCAACTATCGTATCGTTGAAGTCGATCGTATCCAAAGCTGCCAGGATATTCTCTTCGCCTGACGTCGACTGTCCTACCTGTAAATAAATACAGAGCTATTAATGAATATGAAGAATCTTTTCATGGATGAAACTTACCAGCAAAAGTAAGTAGTAGGTCTGTCAAAAGTACAAAAAAATTTTCTTACTGCATCGTCGATTTTATCCAGTGCCGCCAATCTGTAGTCTCCGTCTGATGCATTGCATGTCGACGTAGACGGCTGCTGCTCCTGGTCTTGGATAGCCAAAGGGGTGGACTTGTCTTCTGTAATCCTTTTCTGCAATAGAAGTAGATAAGTGTCAATAAACGCAGATTGAATTGAATCGTAAGTGAAACATCACCTACAATATATTAATTCAATACTTATACTGAGTTTGACTCTTTTAGGCTCACGATCCATTGATGAAGCATCACGTTTACACTGTTGAATCTGTAAAAAAAATGTTATGATTAAATTTTTTTCTAGTCACTGTCTTAATCTTTAGGTAACTAAGAAATATATTGTTTAATATAAATCAAAAGCATTTTTGATTGACTTACGTCATCTCCGTCGTCTACATCAGTAGGACCTTCTGATGGCGCCAATGTCGAACTCGCTTCAGCAACTGAAAAGGAAAACTTCTATAATGACGAGGTTTTGTTTCAAATGTATTTACATCGCGATATGTAAAGACAGCTCACTCTGCTTTTCCAGTCTCTCATTTTGAGCACGCATTTCGCCTAATTCGACGTCGGGCTCTAACGCCAACCGATTGCGGAGCAATGTTATCGTGACCGCTAACACCTCCGCTTGTTTGGTCTGAAAAGACAATATATTAGTTTTAAAAAAGTAGTACACTATCAGGGATAAGTAATAATAGTCAAAAAGATAGTTTCTGACACCTAAGAACCGAGTCCGAGCAATTGCGATTTATTCTGCAAACTTAAATAAATTTATATTAGTAAACACTGAACACTTTAAAATGGAATATATATGTATTGTTTTATATTATATATTTCAAGTTACGGTAAAAACCGTAATTGACATTATAAGAAATCCAATAACGCCATTCACTCCAATCGATCAGGAAAATTGTCTTTGAAATCGAACATTCGTTGGTATATACGAAAATGATAAAGCTAAGCGTTACATGCGAAATTTCGTTTTAATTTCGTTCGTAAACGAAATTTCGTTTTCGAGAAAGCGAGTAGGCCTCCTTTTATTTTTGTTTAATTGTATTTCGAAATTACCGTTTATTAATAATAAACTTTGTTGTCTTTGTTTAAGAGTGATTTTTATATTGTTTCGTACCTCGTAAGATAAAAACATAACCCTCATAGGATCACTTTGTCGTCCGTCCGTCTGTAAAGACCGTTTTCCTGAAGAACGCGTGGAGGTGAAAAGCTGAAATTTATATCAAATATTCAGGTTTACTGTCTTTTAGAGCTGTGAAAAAATCAAATTTTGAGCCCACGCAACCAAAGATGCAGCCGTTTATGCTGAAATTCTTCAACAAATTAAATAAATTGTAAGGAACGGGTACTGGATGCGACAGTTATTTTTTTTTATTTTTTTTATCCGAAATGGGCTCACTCTTGACGTTAGGCGTAATAATATTAAGCGTAAGGCCTAAGATAGGACGATTTTGCCTAGAAAATACCTATTTACTCGTGCTTTAAATATTCCTGGGTTATAGGATACCGGGAAAATAGAGGCAGGTAGGCTATTCCACTCCTTGGCTGTGCCCATAATAAATGATGATCCAAAGCGCTTTGTTCGGATACGTGGAATGTGAACCAGGTGGGCGTGATAATTTGCTGTACGCCTGGATTCCCGGTGGTAAAAAGGTGCTGGCGGAATGAGCCGATGCAGCTCAGAAGCACACTCTCCGAAGTACAATCTGTAGAATACCGACAGTGAAGCAATTTTTCGACGATGAGACAGACTGTGGAGCTTGGAGTTATCGAGATCACAATCCCCCACAAATTTTCTTGCTCTACGGTCCACCGAATCGAGCGCGGCAAGCTGGTATTTTGGTGAGACATCCCAAAGATGTGAGCAATATTCCATACACGGACGGATTTGCGCTTTATACAAAATAAGAAGCTGTTCCGGTGTAAAGTATCGTTTAACTCTATTTAGGATGCCCAATTTTTTGGCCGCAGTTTGAGCTTTCGATTCGATGCTGTCACCGAAGTTGAGGTCTGAAGACCTCATGCCAAGAAGATCAAGATCGTCAGAGATTTCTAGAATTGTACCACGGAAAGAAAGAGCCAAGGTGAGAGGGCTCTTTTTGGCGGAGAATAAACACGCCTGTGTTTTGGTGGCGTTAAAACTGACCAAATTGTTATCCCCCCATTGGGAAACAAAACTTAAGACGAAGTTAGTCCGCTCAATCATGGCCTCTCTCTGGAAACAAGTGTCCTCACTACTGGCTTTTGCGTTAGATATGTATCTCTCCGTAACCGTGCTGTCGTCTGCGTACCCGACAATACCGGGCATAAGCAGGTCGTTAATATGCAACAGGAAAAGAGTTGCTGAAAGAACAGACCCTTGAGGAATTCCAGCGTCGATTTCCATGTGGTCCGAGGAACATCCATCTACGAAAACACTAATCGACCGCTCGCTCAAGTTAATTGGGGCTTAAATAGTTAATTGGGGCTTTTCCTCCTATCTCAATTTCCCAAAGTGTCGGCCGTGGTCATTGACTGACTAGTAGCCATGTTACGTCTCGTCGTCTGAAGTGGAATTCACTTCTGCCATGTATTTTTTTTTTCAAAACAATAGTCACACATAATCAATTCAAAATCATTTATTCTATCTGAATTGATTCAAGCAGTTGTGAAAGTCAAAACTCTATACCATCGGTTCGTAAATCTACAGTCCCACCTACCTACGAAGACTGGTACGATTCTGGTATTTAGGTAACCTCGATTTTATCACCGGATTCAATGTTGTTGATAAAATTTTAAACAATATTCTCTATTGAAACTGCTGGCATGTTTTTTATCCAATCTAGTGGTTTCTGCCACTCAAAAAAATCGGCTATGAAAAATGCTTAAAAAATCCACTTGAAAAAATTCATAAAAAATCTAATGTTGGTATACTGATCCTAAGTATCTCTAGTTCATTTATATTTTTTTGTCATAAATAACTTCTAGTTTAAATACCGAAAGGATTTTAATACCTAGCGTTTTCATAAATTCGCTTTCATAACATATCTCACAAACTAGTTGAAGCATTTGACCTTGCAATTTTTTTAATAATTCTAATAATTCCGTGCTATTGGAGTCTTCTCAGACAAAAGAATATTACCCTATTTCTTTGATGTTTTGTTACTATTGTTTTCGCAAGCATGAAAGGATTTGCTTTTGAAGTTCACCGTCTATTTGTTTCCGTTTTTCTCGTGTAACAAGATTATTTGTGCGAATGCGGCAATGCCATATACAAATTCGCTACATTCTATATTTAAACATATTTCTATAGCCTAGATGTTCTTAATACTTTAATCGTAGTCTCTGCGGTTTGATTTTTTAGAATTTTAACCTCATAATACCTACTATAGTAGCGCACAAAAATGACTTAATAATGACCTGACCTACGTGGCTTGTAAGTGGCTTGGGCGTTTTTTACTGCAACCGCCCTCCTCAACCCGACGGTGTGTGTCTTTTTTGATTTTATTTGTGCAATAGATATTGTTCAGCACAGGTCTGAAGGATCTTTGAGTGCAGCCGTAGCTGTGCCCAGCCGTTTTTCTTTTGTCTTTTTATATGTTTGGTTGTTATTGGGTTTGGTGTGATATCGTAAGAGTCGTTGCTGGTTTGTGCCTGTATTGATGTGTGTTCCGATTTGGTGGTCTGTGTAATTGACTTTGATTGTTGTGATGCTGTGGTTGAGGTGGTCTCGACCGGCGATCTTGTTTGGGTGTGTTCTTTTGGGGGAGTTGATTTTGTGGTAGTCGTTATTGGGATGTCTTTTGTGTTTTTAGAGGAGTCTATAGCCATTTAGTCAACTTAGGTCAAGTTTTATGTCATTACAATCTCATTTACATTACAAAAAATAGATTGTCACGAGTGCTTTCCAGTTAGGGTCACGCATCGTGTTGTCTCGTCACACGTGTCGTGTTGTATTGGAATTTGGTATTCTTCGTAGTATCATTCCGACTTCTATCATGATGATAATGTATCTTGATATTTATTTGTATTGAAGTGAGTGTAGCTTGATCAATTTGGAGCCAACAGGAAGAAGCGTTTAAAGCTTTAGAACTTAGTAAATATAAAAAAATGTTTCAGCACAGAAATTCGTAGTATGTACGTTTGTATTGTGTGACGAATTGGAAATTCGGTAGTGTGAATGAGTATGTAGCGAGGCTTAAGTCAAATGAGGGAAGGAGTCGGTCACTACATTGCGCGCGCCACTATTTTCTTAATAAATTTTCGAATATTGAAAGCTATAATAATCACATAGCTATAATAAAACAAGTTATTGTAAAAATATTTCCTAGCGCAGAATGAATGCCTTTTGATTAGTAATTTCTTTCTTCATTCGATCGGTATTTTTTAACTGTTATTTCTAGTTACATTCTATTTTTTCTTTTTTTACTCACTTCGCCTTACTAAGGCTAATTAATATTATTAAACTAAACAGAGTCATTCTATCAAACTTAGAGAACTCTACTCCCTCAATCAATCGTTAATATATTCTAATTGGAAAATGCTTATAAAATCCTCTTTGTCCCTGGCATTCAATGATTGGACTCGAACCCATGACCATACGTAATCCGGGCGGCTGCTCTAACCAATAAGCTACCCAGGACGTAACAGGACTATCTCATTGTTCAAGCACTTGTTTTTTTTCAGCCGAACAACAACCGAAAGATATATTTTTAAAAATATTTAAACTTTCGACAAAGATATAAAACTTTGTTCTTATTATATATTATATTTGAACAATTTTTGAATTTGAAAGGTAATACTGAAAAATATTCTTAATGAAGCATATTTTATTGAGAATATTTTACAGTATAGTATTATGAATGCAAATATTTATCGAATATAACAATCGTTAATATGTTGATAATGTAGCGACTTAACCTTTCATTCTAAATAACTCACTTTTCTTGCTGAGTGAGGTGTATCATTCATACTTTCTGTACATTCTGTTTGCACCTCGTTCCCGAGGCCTCATAAAGTAAGTAGCTAAAAGTTGAAAAACGAGTACTCTCTCATTTTGTCGTGACAAGTAATTCAAACGAGGTTATCTCACCAGTGAGGTAATAAATGAACTTCATAGACAAATGTTAATTAGCCCGTCGATATGTTGTTACTTTTCATTTTCATTGAAATAATGTTTGATGTTCACCGTCTCTTTGTTTCTGTTTTTTCTCGTGTTACAATCGTGTTCAGGTGTCACTACTTTAGATAATGATAACGTTTTGGTGTATGAGATAATAAAATAAGTACTAAATGAAGGCAATAAATAAAATAAGTACTGCACAAAACTTTATATAGTCTATTAAATCAATTGCCCGAAATCAATCGTAACCCGGCCTAAATAAGCAATCTTTGTCAGACACAATCTTTTTTAAAATATAGTTAGCGTTGAGATAGGTATTAAAACCGCATGTTATGATGTTCCAACATTCGTTCGCTTGTTAATGGTAATGTTTATTAAGAGCAAGCTAGTTATGGGGAATTGAAAAAAACTGGATATACAAAATACATTATAACATGGTTATTACTACATTATATAACAATATTTTCCAAAAACAATAATTTATAATAAAGACAATAATCATCCCGTGATATTCGTAATTTTAGAATTTCCAAACAATGGTTCATATTGTATCGTGTTTAAAGGATTTAAAGGGTTTTTGTGAAGTAATATTTCACCGTGAGGTGAATGTCGAGCGTAAATCCATGATATATGTATTATTTCTCAGTCTTCACAAGATCAGCGGTACTTTGTCGATAGTCAAGTTAAGTATTATAAGTTGGAAGAAATATATGACATTTGGCTTACATACAATATAATAAACACTAAGTAAGATTGACATCTGAAAAACAATCTATCCTTTCTCATCAAAGAAATCACGTCGGCACCAAAATTTAAAAAGAATATGTCATAAGCATATAATGAAACACACTTATACAATTTATATAGGTCAAAAATAGCAAATGAATCATTTAAACTATTGGAGTTAAAAACATTCTAGAAACAACAATAAATAATACGCTTATCATATCTATCAACACACCTATTGTTTTCGTCAAGACTATTCATTTTCGCTGAGAAGGTTTTGCTATTGTTGTAAAAGGCGATTTCCTTTTGTTTGATTTTTGCTTTTTACAAGTAATGTGATTATTTTGCGAAATGCGGGCATTCACAAATCCATTTTCTATAGATTTTTTGTTATTTACTTTATATAGAAATTTTGACTTTGATCTAAATTAGGGTCATGCGAGGTAATAATCCTTTAAGTGTGTAAAAAAATAAGTATTTAGGTGCTTTTAGTAGTTATTTTAGACCTACTAGATCTTATAGTATTCATTTAAGAATAAAAACGGGATTCCATCTTTTTGTATAATGTTACAAATATATTTTAAAATAACCGTATGTCATAAATGTTTTTTTAAAAGTATAAAGTTTCTGTTGCTGTCTTTTAGGCAAAATTTTGCTTGATTTTATTCGTATAATATTGATAGATATACATTAAAAGACGGTGAGGACCGTTTGATGGATTAGGTAAGAATTGTGATTAAAACAAAAATTGAGCGTACTGTACGCTAATGATATAATCTTTGTAATATTTTTGAATTCGGCAAATAAAAATTATCTTGCATTTATTTATGTTGACGTAACATCAGCCCTTTCCATGGTACAGTCGCATCTTGTACCACTGTTTACTACTGGTTGAAATAAATGTGATCACACTATTCTCACCGATAATATGAGCGAGAGACGACATTCTACAGACGAAGTCGACTGAACAAAACACCAATGTTGTGCGGTGCATAATAGAGCAGCCAAAAGAGCTACCATCAGCAGATTCGAACAAGCTTAGACATCTGTATAAGTCAGCTTCATAAAATCCTGTATGGATTGATAGCTTTGTTATGGATATTACAGTCTCATGATTTGACCGAGGTCCAAACACTCCGTCATTAACGGTATAATATGTTAGATTAGACTAGAAATAAGAAAGGTATATTAACAGTTGACTAGCACTTATCTTGGAAACAGTTTGAAAGAAACGAGCTCGCAGTAGGAACCTATTTTGAATCCATCCATGATCTTCGAATGCAGTGCTGTAAAGATAAAATGAAATGAATAACTCGTTATTTTGGTGAGATTTTAATTTTCTAAGTACTTAAGTTTGACCCTCGTAAGATAAATTATGCTTAAAAATTAGGGCGTAAGCTGTTATGCGTAAATAAAGAGAAGTATGCCATGTTATACTGTCTTAAAATTTCATTCAAATAGTCACTGCCAGGGTAAGAAGTTCAATTAGTTTTGTGATAGATCCGTAGGTTTGAAGTCACTTCTTCTTACATTCTTCTTTATCTATGCACTAGATTAGATTTAAATTTACTCTAATTAAGGCAGCATAAGTATTGAGCCACAAAAAAATAAGTAAAACAATGAAGTCAATGTTTTAATAAACAAAATTGGAAATTAATCCTGTAAATGAAAGTTCATACAAATTCGCTGAACTACGTTTACTTTTATACGCAATCAATTATAATATTGAGATTTCACATTTTTAACGAAAATGCATCCGAATATTCTAGTGATTTCACATTCCAGAGTCCTCATTAAAAATTATCACTATTAAAATACTGTTAAGCTCATCATTAGATTTAACTAAAAGCAAAAACATAGCATTGCTATTATTCATTGTTAATGATATTATAATGTCATGTCTTGCGTAAGGAATGTGTAATTGTTTTATTTTGAAACAGTTTGGTCAAAATATACTCATTTGTTAATAGTTATCCAAATGAAAGCTATTCTCGTTAAACTAATAAATGGTTTCTATTTGGTAATTTGGTAATTATCTTTTTTTTTTATTTGGTATTTATGCTAAATACTTAAGTACTGTCTCGCTAGTTTCCATATAATCCTTATATACTAAATAGCATAGCTAGATAGAGGATCGGGAAAAAAAACATTAATATATTCTCACGCTTGTTGTCTGGGGACGTAGTGAAGATATATCGTAAACATTATCGTCGTTGGTCCTACTCTACTGCATTACAAAGAAGAAGTTAGAGCAGGTTGTCGATTGCAAATGCTCAGGTACCTAAAATAGAAAAAAACTAAACCCTCTTAAACCTTGCCTGTACGTCAGTCATAGGTCCGACTCAAATCTATTGAACCTATTTGTCGTTTGGTACATGTGTACCAAACAACTCAATGGGTTCAATAGTTTCAGTTTCGGTTAGGTATAGATATAAGTGACCCTATAATATAACAGAGGCTGTGGGTGCATTCACCGTCACTGAGTCATTGACCGTTTTGTCTCATTTTCTATTACTTTAGACTTAAAACTATATTAATTACGTAAAGGTATCTGAGATGAATAAATTATTTTATTATTCTTATTATAATAAAGGACACAATAGTAACCTCTGGTTTAATTATAGTTGTTTAAGACTCGAAACAAATTTTTCGAACAATAATTTGCCCTGAATATGTCAATAATATATCCATAAGATAGTTTTAAATTAAGTTGTTTTTATACAACTCAAACTTACTTCGAGCTTTTTTACTGTGTATTTGGTTTAATTTGGTTCGTTTCACTGAAAAAGCCTATTTTAAAATTTTAATTTTTTTAGCGTACCTAAACCATACTTTGTTATTTTTTTAGTTATTTTATCATTACGTGATTGGGTTCTATAGTGAATCAGTTTAAATATTACAATGTATACCTACTATTACCGAAATTTGACAAATATATATATATACTTGCCTTTTAATAAGCTTTTTAAAAGCTTCTGAACATAATATAAACTTGGAAGCTGAAATCGTCTTTGAAACGTATCAAAAATACTTTGAAAATGCATAGAAAATAGTGCTATATTAGTAAACTTTTCAAAGTTGTAGTTGTAGGAGGATCCGGAGACGCCAGTAATAAATAGTCTGCAAGTTGAGTTGGTTCTCATCTAAAACTTCACACGTATTTAAATAAACAATTCCCTGATTAACATATTCCTGATGTTCATCACTTGTGAAACCGATTTTTACGGGAAGAAAATTTAAAACAAGTAAAACATTTGATTTTCAACAGTATATTACATCCGCATTTGTGCTAAGCATACCTTTTTTTCCATGGAAATTGGTGAAATGCAAAAGCGAACAATGTATGTATTCCATGGAACTGGGTCTTGAATTTGTTTTCGTCTAATTCAAGTCCCTTACAAAGTTGTTTGGCTCTGATTGGCTAGTCAAATGTGTATGGTTCATTAATTATATGGTCTAGAAATACCTCTCCAGGTCTAGAAAGAAATTAGCCTGCTTCGCTCTCTATTTTGTGGATAAACTTGATGAATCGGAAAATCTCTCCAGATGATTAAAATTATTAGAATTTTAACTTCGCCTTATAACTATGCTTAAAAATTGGAGATATTTTTTCACTAATAAGTATCAATCGCTCATAAACATAACACATCAATGCCATAAAATAAATGCTAATACGCGGCATTTGGTGATGCTTATATGACTTTTCTTCACTCAAATGGAATAGCTTTTTCTTGTTTATTGGGTATACTTGTCACAAATTTCCGTTCGGGATATTCGTCCAAAAAATCATACTTTTGTTAGATATTATTTTGGAAATTTAACTTCAGTTCTTGGTGGAGTATGTCAGTTACATAGTAAAATCATATTTATTTCAAAACAACATCATGCTAAGTAAATATTTCACTGAAAATTATTAAAATATCTTTATATCTTGGGTATAAGAAAGACGGTTAACGAACTAAATAAACTTACGGTTTTAAGAAATTATCTTTCGATTATTATATGTCGGTTTCAGTGTAAACAAATGATTTTTTGTGACAATCTTCCATTTTCTTCATACAAAAACAGGACTAACGGATCTATTTAAACAAAATGAAGTCCCTTTTGAGAATAAATATCATCAGGATGGGTCACATACAGAAACATCCTCCTTTAAAGACGATTAAAAATGTAAAATGTAGCTCTTTGGATCGGTTGTGTATAATTATTTGAAGTTTGTCTCTAAGTATTTGACGCTACCTGTACGTATCTTTTAATGTCGCAACCTGAAGAGGGGGCGGCTGATTTGTAAAGAAATGGTGGGAGGTAGGGGTACAGGGAGGGCGGAGCGTGCACGCACTCGTATATAAACTCGGGAAGGCTATTTCACTCACCACTAGTACTCCTTCTAGTTTGAAGAGCAACGTTGTGCTTGTGCCTTAATTCTTTTAGTTCTTGTGCCTTAGTTTTTTTGCGAAAACACTACATCACAATGGCTGGAAAAGTAAGTTGGCTTATCATTAATTCTTATTTGATATTTTAGCATTTTACTACATCACGTGCATTCTTAAGGTCGTAATTTAAAGAGCAAACGCATTTTAATTCTGTGTTTATACACAATATACTATTTTCTGAGAATCTACCCAGGTTTCGATACATCTGTCCCGCTGTAAACGTGCGAACTGTATAGAGTTTCATCTTTTATAAGAACTTGTAACAGCTTCTAAAAAGATTTTGATTTGATTTGAATAATTGCCAATTCTATTTATTATTTGCCAATCTTATTATCGTAACCTTATCAGTAATTTGGAATTGTTAGATGATCGAGATATGTTTGAGTTTATATAATGAATCGATTTACAAAAGGTTAATTAAGAAGTTATTCTTATCATAAAGGCGGTTAAAACATAATTTGATTTTAAAATTTGTCTAAGTAAATAAACAAAATTTAGAAGAACTTTCTAGAAATGTTGATATTGAATTTGATAGTTTTATGCAAATGTCAGGTTGATTATTTATTATAGATAAAAAAAAAAGAAAATAGATCTTCAATTCGCTGTATTTATTGATCTTGTAAAATATACAACAAAATTGCGAGTCGGACTTTTTCTAGACCGTTATTGTGTGTTATGAAACGTTACTTTATGCCAAATTTCAAGATTCGAGGTCGGTGGAAGTAACCTTTAGGTTTTGATTCCCTTGCGAGTAGTTGCGAGTTTAAAAATATGCAGCTTAAATTGCAGTTTCTTTTGATTGTGTTGAAATAAAAGTTTGATTGTGTTACAGCTTAAAAGGTATTATAGACTAGAGTATTTGATATGAATTTAAATTTAATACATTAACGCGTTCATGAGTTAAGGTGTAGTTACTTAAAAATTATTTAAAATATTTTTATTATATAATGACAACAGAAATTTACGGTTTTCCCAATTTTTCTTTGTCTTTACTGTTGGACATTGCTTCGTACCAGATTTCAAGATTATAAACAAAAATTATATATTTCGGTGCGACTTAAAGTCCCTGAAATAACGATGAACTTTTTTAACTGGTAATTTGTAAAAAAATAATGGCTGATGAGAAAAGTATATTTATTTTATTTATTGCAGCACATCAAACAGATTTCAAGCGGTCCAGAACGCAAGCGTGGTAGACCAACTGGTCAGAACAGGGTTCCACTGACTCGGGTTAATATTTTTCATCTTATTATTTTTATTATTTTCTTCGTACGGTAAATTTTAAATCCAATTGGAATTTTTATTTTATTTCGTAAAAAAAAGAATATCAAAAAGTTTATATAATAAATAATAATATACCCAGCGAATCTTTCAGTTATATTGTATTTAAGTCTTTTTAAAATATTTTTGTATTTTTCTTGGCTTATATAACAGGTTATTACAGGGTTTGACCTAAATATATAACTTGCAGGATGAACGTCGCGCTCGCAACGCTCATTACGAGCGAGAGCGTCGGGGCGACCAGGCCGACGCCTCCGCTCAACTAGCGAAGGAGATGGGCTGCGAGGCCAAGGTGAGAAGATATAT